TGCATCAGTTATTGGTACACCTGGGTGGGAAGAATTTTAAAATTATAGCACAGAGATATTTTGATAAATACAAAGCAAAATAAGGAATTATCTATTACAACAAACTTCATTAATCAACTAATTGTACAAACTTATCTACTATAGACTTCATTACGGAAAAAATGGAGCATATTCTAAATATAAAATCTTGTTTTTCTGATGTTTATCTGATCAAATTAAACAATTTGAGAAAGTACGCGCGAGTACGATCCTGGTAAAATTTTCTTTGATAATAAGTCTTTGCAGGATATATTTATTTGTGCTTTATCTTCATAAAATAGTAAAGGTTCGAGGAAAAAAACAATTAATGACGGTGCTAATATTAGTTTAAAATCTGACAATATTACAACAAAGTTATGTACGATAATATTTGATTTAGGGTCTGCAAGCCTGGCAGTAACAAAAGGCACAGGCATGTCATAGGCACAGGTGCAAAGACATCTGGCATAAAGTTAGTGGACACTTCTGAGGCAAAGGCACAAAGTATTTGGCACTTGTTGGGCATTTTGTATTATAAGTATGAAAAATCGATCCTAAACTATCAGACACTAGGGCACAAAGTGCCCGTCCAAAGGCGCCTAAAACATTACATGTGTGCCAACAAAATGCTAAAACTTTTGTGCCCATGGGCACGGGCAACCTCACAAGCTTTAGTGCCAGGCATGATGCCCAATATGCCCGGCATGGGCATTTGCAAATCCCTACTATCAATTATATAGTCAAGGCCTTAATATTTAATAGAATCGAAAAGAATCACGTTACACGACAATTGTGTGTTTGTTTGGACTATACCGGCAATAATTTAGGTCGGGATGATTTATTATTGAAAAGTTAAGGATACATGAATAGCAAAGTGGCAGTTGGACGAGTTGGCCGGAACGGCAATGACCACCCGCGAAAGTAGCAATCGAAATTGCACTGGGGTCGCCGGCTTTTCGATTATTGCAGGATTCGCATCTTTCCATTTGTATGGCTCAGCCAGGGCGGCCCCTAAAGTGCTAGTGATATAAGACCAATTAGTGCAACTTATTGGTTCTCTTCTAGTTGCATATTGTAGATCACTCTTTTTTAGATAACAACTGTACGTAATTCAATATTGCAATATATATATATATACTTGGCTACGCCATAATTACGTCACTGGCACTTTGGAGCCGCCCTGGCTGAGTCCCGTTTGTATAATTATGATTTGTTCTCTATTAAATTGAACGATTTACCAAAAAAAAACATTCTGCATATATTACGTACGTTAGGGATGGTAAAAAACCATTTTGAACAGTTTTTAATACATTTTTATTGTTTAAAAAATGGTTTAAATCATCGATATCTGATGCTGAAAGTTAGCTGAAACTGAAAATGCCGCTTTTGATTGGTTAATTTTGGTTTCAGTTTTAAAAAAGTATATGATGTTTATAAGAGGACTGCTAGTCTTCACCGGGGAAAATTCACCGGGCTGATATATCTCAAAAACGTACTAGCTAACACACCCCAGCGTACTAAGCAAAATGTTCAGAACTCAAAAACTAACCCTAACTAAAATTTGGGCCTTTGTATCTGACCCCTATTTTTTTCTGAAACTGCACACTACCCCTTAAAGAAATAAGGAGCGAATTTTCCCCGGTTAAATTTTTCCCCGGTTAAATATAGTTATTTTCTTTTTATAATTTTTGAATTTATTACAAATAATATGCAAAAACAATTATGAAAAATTATAAGTAATGCATTTGATCTTTTTTTTTTTGTATTGATTCTAAATTACTTTCAAAATACGCAATTTGCCTATCAATTAAATACAACTTTATATATTTAATGATATATTAAAATCCAAGATATGCACATTTATAAATTATTTGAAAATATTGTTATATAAATCATGCTAAATAAGGAGTGAATTATACTTTTGACGAGGCATTGTTCGACCATGTTTATCAATTTCAGTAATTTTTGTAAATGGATTATTTTTAAAGAACTTTCATGAGACACTGTCAATTATTTTACTTTTATTTGTTATTTTTTTAAAAATCTACTCGTAATAAGTACGGTACCAATTGCATTGCGCAATTTTAGAACATGATTATGTCAAAATGTATTATCATAAACCATTTTTTTAACAGATCAAAATCAAACATCATGATTTTTAAGATCGAGTTTTAAAACATTTGCCATCCTTAATATACGTACATGCGTACGTTGTGAAAAGATTTTTTATATTTGGTGTATATTGGACTCGGCCCATTTAGTATACACTACAAAAGATGTTGAGGCTCATGTCGAATTTAGCCAAATTTAGTTAGTATGTTACATTAATTGCAATTTATCAAACTTATAGTACTTAGGCCAGACCAATTTAATTCGGTGGTTTACATTACATCCTCTCACAAAAGAGGGGGGGCGGGCTGGAGGGAGTTTATAATAATTTTTTTCCGAAATGTTCCGCGATATAATAAAAGTTTTCCGAAATTTTCCGCACATATAGTGGGGGAGTCAGAAGAGGGAGGGAGGGTAATGTAAACCACCGAATTAAATTGGTCTGGCCTTATAGCACTTATCGCCTTTATATCACTTATGTTACTTATACCACTTATCGTCCTTAGTAAACTTATCGCCCTTAGTAGCCTTCGTACCGAAATAAAATTCAAAGCCTCCTGAAGCCCTTAGTAGAAGTGTTTGGTCTTACTAATCCCCGATAAGTAAAATCTGCAGTAAGAATTAGTAACTAAATTCCGTGATTCTGTACTAAGGGACGCGTGTCGTGAGCTCTAATTGACCCTAGTTACTCTGATCAAGTCTTTCCACGCCTCGATCGTAGCATTACCATTCTTAGGATTAAATTAAAGTAGTTTAGTTAGTATTGAGTGTAATGTTATATTGCAGTATTTGTGTTATCCAGCCTCCAGAGTATTTTCGACCGCTTCAACGTACGTACAGTACGTACATACAATAATACGTAAGTCTATCATTATCTATTATTGTTTCTATTTAAAGAAAGATTACGTTTCACCAATACTTAGACTAATAAGGTTTGTCATTGACATTATTGTTATTGCTATTGATTACTACATTGCACGTAGTGATTCAGGTCAAACTTCAAGCAGGGACATTGAATACCGTACTAGAGGTTGGAACTGGTTTCAATAATTCGAAATTATCACATTAATTTAAAAGTACCAAATTTGATTGGATAAATTAATGACAAATTCGAAAATATCACGTAACTTACGTGATAAACTCGAATGATTGAAATCCGTTCCAACCTCTATACCATACAGTAGGGGACTGCACAGGCCGGGCCGAAATTTGAAAATTTTAAAAACTTCTCAAAACCGCGTGCCTGACGTTTCTTGATATTTATCATAAATGTTAGGGCGCTTTCAAGCAAAAAATTTGGACATTCTCCTGAGCAGATGTCCATTGTCTGATCATTGTCGGTGCGTCACATGGATTGCTCATAGGACTTAAACCACCATATTAATTCACTAGAATGCCAAGTGGCAAATCCGGTAATATAATTGGGTAATGGTTGAATATGCAAAATATAATGACATTTGCATGTATGATGAATACGTTGGAGTGAAAATATTATTGACAGATTTGGAACGACCAATTGAAATAGCAGCCATTCACAAAGTAGCGTTCTTGAATCATGATTTATTAAAATTTACAGTAATTAATTTCGAAGCGTCAAGAAAGGCACTTTAAACGATGGATATTACACAGCATGTATATCAAATGAAGTTATACGCAATTATTTTTTTCTAAAAAAAAAAATAAAAATAGGACTAAGGGAATTGATACTTATTACATAAATACAACCCCCCTCCAGAGTCAGCCATTTGACAATTGCAAGTTATTTATTTTAGAGCTTGCGATTGATTATTTTTTAGAACTTGTAATTGTGACAAATTACTGATTCTGAGGGGGATTATATTTACGTAATAAGCGTCTCCCTAAAAAATAAAATGGGAAAAAATTAATAAAATAGAAAGAAGTAAGGATCTACATATACATTCCTGGTTTGAGCGCGACTACGTCGTGCAGCTACCCTTATTATAATATGCAGGGCAAATATATATCAATACATATCGATACCAGGTCTTTTTTTCTTTAACGGCATTCAAAAAATATTAATTTCCAGTCCAATAATCTAAGCAAAATTTTGAGCTAAATAGTGAAAGAATAATCTTTTTTTATAAAATAAGCTGTACAAAACAAATTTCTCTACGTCTAAAAACTTTAAAAAGAGAGAGAGAGAGAAAGGATTAGAGAATTGACACTTATTGCGCAAATACAACCCCTTTCAGAGTCAATCATCTGACACAATTACAAGTTCGTAATACTGTAAGTAATCGTTTGACAATTGCACACTCTAACATAACCAATCATATAAAGTTTATAGTATGATTACTTTGGAATTGGTAATTATCAAATGGCTGACTCTGGGGGGGCTATATTTATGTAATAAGTGTCAGTTCCCTTAGCGTGAGCAGTTGCCTGGTATCGATATATATCGATATATATATATATATCAATATTTGCTCCTGCATATTATAATTTCTTTGACGAACCATTAAACACTCATAAGCAATTCATGAGACGCACTACCAACAATGGTCAGACAATGGATATTTACTCAGGGCAAGGACTGAATTTTTTTGTTTGAAAGCGCCCTTAGAGTAACTAATCACATTTAAGTATTGGAATGGGTTGAATTTCTTGTTGAAGGTAGTTATGGAAAAGTATATAAGGCTAAATTGAAAAGCGGTTCTATCAATATTATGACAAGAAAATCAGTGATGGCACAGAGTTGGTGATACTGAGGTTGTTTTTAAAAGCATAAAAAAATTTAAAGAATATGCGTATAGATTTTTTTAAAAAGGTACATAATTTAATGTGATAAATAATAGAAAGTTTATTTGCGTAATTGATGCTTTTTTAATTCGTTTTTTAAGATTGAAACTCAAATGGTCTCATGCGAAGAATTTAGTAATATTATTGGATGTTACGGAATAACTAAATTTCCAATTACTGAAAATTATATAATGATCATGGATTACAAAAAAGATAGAAGTCTTAGGAGTTATTTATATGCAAATGTTTGTTTTCTAAGATGGAGTCAAAAATTAAACCTTCTACACAATGCGATCAAAGGTCTTTCTGAAATCCATAAAAAAAAAATAATGCATAATGATTTTCACAGTGGTAATATTATTTTTTTTGACGATAAATCATATATTGCTGATTTTGGATTATGTAACCATGTTGAAACCGACTCTATTGTGTTCGGAGGTTTGCCATACATTGCACCTGAAGTATTATGTCGAGAATCATTTAATGAAGCTGCAGATATCTATTCTCTTGGAATAGTTACGAATCAGGTTGCATCAGGTTATCCACCGTATTATGATCGTAACTACGATACTGGCCTTGTACTTCAAATCGTCAATGAGGGGCTCCGCCCAAACATTAATGCTAATGTCACATCACAAGTTAGTAAATTAATCCAACGTTGCTGGAGTCAAAATCCTAACGATCGGCCAACTGCCATTGAATTGCTTGATAAGCTTTGTAGTTATAGGCAAAAAGACAATAAATTATGGAAGGAAATTGAACAAATCGAAAATAATATAAATTTTAATATATCTCTACGAGAGGCTTCCCTCAAATACGAAACACCTAAACAAGTATTCTACACCAGTAAACATTATTACGTTCCAGAAATAGGTAAAATGTTATATGATCTTTTATTGTGCGAATAAGTTTTACAAGATATGAATCCCTTTATTTTTTACGTTAATTTTATTTTTGCTAACATTTTTTTAAATATAACAAGATAATGAAACTTCGTCATCGAGTCGACAAAATAGTATCCAAAATGCCAAAGTCGACCATAATAGCTCAAATTCAATTCCAGCCAATAATTCTGAATCAACAGAAGGTACAAATTTGTCAAGTTTTATTGGTTCATATATATAGTGAAGATGAAATTAGTAATAGAAAGAGAAATAACTTATATTAAGAAGATAATTTTTTTACTTTAGGTTTATTTTTCTCAGAACTCACTATTGATCCAATATTATCACCAGCAAAAATTAGCACAGATATTGATAAAAATTGGTACAAGACTACTGTTAAAGATTATAAGTTGAAGGAAATGCGTTTTGATAAATTTGGAAAAATAGATCAAATAGGAATTGATGCATATGGAGTAATTTACCAAACGACCTATGCCTTAACAGAAGAAAAGGTTGTAGTGAAAGAACTGTTTATTACATCAGACGATCATGAAAGCATTAAAATTTTTATTAATGAAGTAAAAAAACCCATCTGCACATTGTTTATTCTATCTTTTTTTTTATTTCTACATGACTTATTGTTTTAAGATCTGCTAATATAATTTCTTTACTATTCGTTTTTAGTTAAAACTACATAGTCGAGTTACTCATCCACGAATAATTCAACTTCATGGAATAAGTTGTGGTTAGTTATAGTCTGCAAATTTCCCGACGGTCATTTCAGGCAATCTAATCTGGATCACACAGCGAGATAATTTATCGTTTCATTAGTAGTGTTATATTTTATTAGTGAATCTTCATGCTACGTGATGTCAATTAAATAGAAATGACCATCGGAAAAATTATATGTAACCTTAACCTTCGGTTTCGTCTCTTATTATTTCTTTTATTAAAAATCAAAGATCAGGATAACGAAACGTACTACCTTGTGATGGAATACGCCGAAGGTGGGACATTACAACAATTTTTGAGAAAGCGTGTATTTACTTATCAAGAAAGGATACAATTGGCTTTACAAATAGTAGAAGGAATGACTTATTTGCATAGTATAAACATTATCCATCAGGATTTGGTAAGCTTGCTTACCGATTACTGATTGAATTTATTTTGAATACTTGCTGCATAGTAGATATATAAATTTTTTTTTTTTTTTTTTTTTTTTTAGATGGTGATATTAAAATTGCTAATTTTGGTCTATCTAAAAGCCTTAACACTATACTGCTATAATGTCACTCAGCAATAATGTTTTTCCTTACATTGATCCTCAAAAACTCCGCAATGACAAATATATTTTGAATGAGAAATCTAACGTTTATAGTGATGGTGTCCTTTTATGGGAAATTTCCAGCAGTTGTAGTCCTTTTAATGGAAAGGAAAAAAGCACGCTTTTTCTTCAAATATTCTTTGAAGGGTTACGAGCAGAACCTATAAAAACCGTGCCGGATAAATATATCAAATTATATTCAGAATGTTGGCATGAAGATCCTTCTAATAGACCTTCTATGTTACAAGTATTTCAAACGCTCAAGTCTATGGACTGGTGGTATTTAAGCCTTGTTTATGATTGTGGAGTAAAAGAAATTTGTTATAGTGACTTTAAAAAAAGAAAAAGATAGGTAGTGGTGCATTTGGAATGGTTTATACAACAATTTGCAATTCAATAAAAGAAGGAATAGTTGTAATAAAAGATGTGCATATTACATCAGATGATGACGATGAAAATATTAAAATTTTTATTAATGAAGTACACTGTACAAACTTAAAAATTTGCTTTTTTTTACGCAGCATAACATGTAATTTTCTTAAGTTTTAATGAAAATTTATTTTAATTTTCAGATAAAGCTACATAGTCGAGCTAATCATTCACGAGTCATTCAATTATATGGAATAAGTCGAGGTTAGTTTCTAATTTACATTAAACTACAAAAAAAAACAAAAGCTAACAAATAATTATGATATGTTAAAAGACCAAAATAGTGAGTCGCACTGCCTTGTAATGGAATTCGCTGAGAGTGGAACATTACAAAAATATTTACCAAATGCAAACTTAAACTGGAAAGAAAAAATTCGAATTGCGACACAAATTGTAGAAGGGGTAGATTATTTGCATAGTATAAGAATTGTTCATCGTGATTTGGTAGGTTCAAAGTCTTTATTTCATATTATATGATTCAACATGAGTTACAAATTTTATATAACCCTTTTTTAGCATTCTAAAAATGTTCTTGTACATCATGGTAATATTAAAATTGCCGATTTTGGTTTATCCAAAAATCTCAATAGTACAATGACAACTAAGGGGAATATTCTTGGAAGAATTCCTTATATTGATCCTCAAAAGCTTCGGAATAAAAAATATGTTTTGAATGAGAAATCAGATATTTATAGTATTGGTGTACTTTTCTGGGAAATTTCAAGTTGTCATGTCCCTTTTAAAACAGAAGATGATGTCGCACTTTATTTTCAAATTATTTGTGAAAATTTACGAGAAAAGCCTGTAAATGCAACACCTTGTCAGTATGTAAAATTGTATTCAGAGTGTTGGGATGATGATCCTTTTAAAAGACCTTCTAGTTCACAGATTATTGAAAGATTAAATTCTTTGAAATATGAACCAGTTTATAATGAACCGGACATTTTATAATAAGTTATGCTTGTTTATTAAATGTAATTTCTATGTTGTAGTAGACTTGTGTTTAGGTTTCAATAAATTATCATTTTAGACCAGTGTCTTTCTGTCAGTTGAAACAAATGTGTTTATATTCAAAGTAAAAACACTTAGTCTACTCAAAATTTATCCCTAATTTTAACCATGATGTCGACAACGAACTCAAGAAAAATGTACTGCAATGGCACGGGTTTCGGTTGCACGGATTTGTTCGAACTTTGAAACAGCGGAAAATGGTTTAACAATAAAAACTAGGCAAAAACCTAACACAAAATCTACTACATCTAATAAAATCCCCAACTGGTAGGCTTCGATTGAGACGTGGTTGATTTGGACCGAGAATAGGATGTTTCACGATACTGCGGATCACGGGGACAAGACAATACGATATACGAAATACAATTACAACGTTACAACTAGGGAAACACTTAAAGGAAACTACTCCTATTCATTCGTATTTAAACTCAAGGGTGTGCTGAGTTGTTTTATCAACAATGGTTTTTACAGCGTTTAAATACATTTCTCCTTTGCTAATTTACTTGCATTTTTCTATCGTATCTGCCATATATGCCACATTTCTTTGATTCCTCCTACCAAATCTGGCAAATTTGTCCTTTTTCTGCCAATTCTGCAAAATCTGCCATATCTGGCAGATACAGTCGATTTTGGTCGATCGACCCAAGTTATTTCAGTTTGGCTACTTAACCTACTTCCGCTCTTGTAGAGTTCACCCAAACCTAGAACTTACTTCACAGTATATCCCCAGTACTTTAGTAACCCTAATCATTTTTCCAAACTTCTAATTCAGATAGCCCAGTTTGTATTTTTCTTTTTTTCCAAATTTAATATGGTTTAGTTGGTCTAGGTGAAGTTTACTTATTATGCTATTACCAGAAATATTTACCCTGGATCACTTTATGTTTTCAATCTAGATAGTCCAGTTAGTATACATTTTTCTTTACAAAGACCCAATGACTAGATTATCTGGCTTCATCTATTTGAAGTAGCCTAGTTGGTAAAGATACTCCCCAATACTCTGTCTCTTATCCAGTTCAGTTCACATAGGTTCTGTTTCTTGAGTCTCACTTTTACAGTAGCTTTATCAAAAATTTGTGCTATCTTACTACGTATTTAGGCTTGCCAAGCAGACTTCTATATTCACAGTTCTTTAGATTTATATAACTCAGAACTTATCTTGTATTTATATTGCCAATTATTAGTTTACATCTCATTATGTTATTGCACCCTAATATTGAAGAGTATAACTTATATTTATTTTTAATATTTTATATATTTTTTATAATAATTTTATTAAATATTAAATAATTATTATTTATTTTTAATATTTTATATATTTTTTATAATTTTTTTTATTTTGAATTTGCTGTATACATAATAAGATTAGTTACAAATTTATATCAAGATGATATTAATTTTAACTACCTATTGTATTTTGTATAACCATCTAAGTATAGCAAAACACCTCTTAATTTTCTATTTGTAAACTAATTTAAGACAAGCTACCATTAGTTATAGAGAGGAAAAGAGGAAGCCCAATATATTTTTTATAATAATTTTATTAAATATTAAATAATTATTATTTTATTATTAAGCTTAAAAAACTATTTTTTTAAACTTATTAATTGTTATAGTTAATATATACAAATATATTAATACAAAAATTTAATAATTTTTTATATTAATATTTAAAGAATTTAAATATATCTATACTTTATAGATTCTTTTATAAATATTTATATAATTTATATTAAACCTCATCTAGATTTGTATAAATACAACAAATTTAAATAAGTTTTAACTACTCTAGTAGATTAAAATATAAATAAATTAGACTAAGTTTTACTTTTGATTACAAATAAATTAATCTAAGTTTTATTTTTTGTAAAAAATTTATAAAAATTAGCTCTGGCCAAAGAAGCATATTGTGAATTCTTAATACAAATTAATAAATATTAAGACAAAACCTTATTTTAAAAAAAGCTATATTTTAAATTTAAGCTTAGTTATATAACTTTTTGGAGGGTATACTAACTAGGTTTATAGGTTTTTTCTCGATGATACTTATATAAAAATTCTTAGAAAAAACAAAAATGCAAATTATAAAAATTAGTTAAACCATAAAATAGAAATAATTACATATAGTTATGTAAATATTTATAAATAATAATCACGTGAGCATATTTTAAGTTATTTTTACAGTACAGCTTTTAGACAAATAAAAAATACTGTATAGTATAAACTATGGAGTCAGTTTTAAACTTAAAAATTAACCATACAGATGGTATGTAGATATGAAGAAAAAATTTTTAATTGTATTTTAAATTAAAATTAATTGTCACTAATAGGTTAACTAGAACTTTTTCGTACCCTTTAGCTTTTAAAAGACTTGTAAGATAACTCATTATTCCTTACTCGATATATTTATCCCTCCATAGGCATATGTGAATTAGTGTCTTTAATATATTAATTGTTTGATAAACATCAAATATTTATGTTATCTAAAATATAAAAAATTAATTGATTTTGAATATTTTATGTGAAAGACGCAAACAATGAATTTAGTGAATAACTTAATAATAAACTTACGAAATATACTTAAGTTGGTTAACTTTCTCCAGGTAACTGGAGCATAAAGAACAGAAATTGTTCCCCCAACTTTGCTAGTTAATTTTTCCACAATAGCATTTCCCTCAATACTTGGAAATGCTATAAATACTATTACAATATTATTATTTATTTCTAAATTTCTTAATTCTAATACTGTTTTCAAGACCTCCTCTTCATTATTTTCATAAAGACCAATGAATGCTATATCGTAAATATATCGATTGTGCGTTTTAGCTGCTTCAATACCTTTGTCAAAAGTATCAAATGCATCAACTTTTTTAGCCATTTTAAGATATTTCAACATTGCAATTCTCATATTTTCTACTGAATGAATTATTAATATTCGTTTTTGTTTCATGACATAAATTATCTCAGTAAATTGTGACCTTAATAACGAAGGTGTCATTGATAATAACTCAATATTCCATGTAAACCAAAATCTAC